AAAGCCATAATTCATCATATTTATATGGGAATCATGTAGTGTAGATTCAAGTTTGTTCAAATCATGATCCCCGGGGGTAGGGCGGGGCCAAAATGGCCAACCAAAGTTTAACATAGAAATATATAGGAAAATTCTTTAAAAATCTTCTTCTCAATCATTTTCTAAAAAATAGCAAATCCATGATTGGTCATGGGACTACTTTTGGATTTAAAGAATGACTGCACTTAAGCTATGAGAGTTGGAACCCGGTGTTTTGCGCAAAAGAAAATTCCAAAATTCATTCAATTTATGTTTTATAGGTATTAAACAATATCTTAAGAACAGGTTTTGGTATATTACATAACATGAAAGTATTAAACAATGACGAGCGACAACAGCTTTTGAGACGGGAATCTAGTAGTTTTGTCCCATTTCTATTGTTATTCATATGCATACCAGTTTTCAACGACTTTGTTTACATCGAGCCGCAACTTGGCCATTTTTCTTATTTGCACAGAATGTGTATTTTAACTTAAACTTATACATATCCAAAGGACAATGTTGGTCAAGTTGCGGCTCATATCTAATTTTTAAAAAAATATCCCCAAACTAGGATCGAGATAACTGCTAAATTAACCTGTCACCGTGCATCAACGATTGATATGATAATCACCTGAATCACGTGACATTCTGCTGTTCGATACGCTTATGCTTTCATTGAACATTTCATTGTGTGTAAGTCTCTGTTGTGATAGTATCTATTGTACTTCAAACTATGGGATATTTTTGTGCAAATTTTAATAGGGTTTGAAGATAATATGTCTCTTATTTAACTTTATGCTTTACATTAGGGGTGTTTGGAAAGAAATCTGGTATTGACAGTGTCAATAGTAAGTACGTGTATCTATAGGCTTATGTCGCCTCTGTGTTATGGTCTGTAGAGCGAGACATCTACCCCATCCCTTATCATCAGAATCATTTCATACATGTGCACCATAAAATCAACAAGATCTCTTTTTTCTCCATTTAAATTCGTATTGCGAAAAAAATCATATGTGCTAATGTTTACATTCCACAACTATGTGGTTTAAATGACTCCGCCTATTTGCGGATACCTTAGATTCGAAAGTGGTGTGTGGGCTTTTACATGTTCTTTTCAATTACATTTTCTGTAATTATAGAAATATGTATGACAAAAAATTCTAGAGATAAATATCACAAGCATGTGCTTGCACATTTATCATCGATAAATTTATTGATATATTGTAATGTTAAGCTTACAATGGGTAGACAAAAAGGTTTCAACTCTCATAGCTTAAGTGCAGTCATTCTTTTACAATAAAAAGCCATTTTATTCTAGTCCTACCCTTGGTGCTCAGGTGATCGATGTGGCCCATGGGCCTCTTGTTTACTTTTGCTGTAAGAATGTTCAGGGGGGATCACTCAGCCTCTTCACATATCCGACATTTGTATCAGTCCCTCTTTGAAAGTACATGTTAAAATTTTCTCTCACATGCTCTAGTCTCTTTTTACGGTATGTCAATGACTTTTTTCGTAATTTGTCAGATTGATATTTCTTTTGTTTTTTGCAGTTGACGGGTCACACGGGTGTTGACGGGAGTGGAGTTCCAAGGGCAGCACACTTCATGGTAGTGGAATTTCCAGGTCCATGATTCATCCTGTGTATAGCGGAGTAGATCTGGGGTTCAAAGTTCACGGAACATGTAACATTCTTTGGATTGGACTTCAAATAACCTCTGTGGAGTGCCTCGGATTTCTGGGTGTTGGTCCCATACCTGGTAGAGGAAAGTGTATTCCTGTTAAAGCGGAAGTTCACTAGCTGACGTAGGGTGGCCTGGTCTTCTTCTGTGGGTTGCAGTTTCCTTGCATGGGATGGGAGAAACTCTTTTGGCCAACATTTTTCAGGTAGGCCTCTACATACTAGTGAGTGGCTGGCACAGATCCTTCCACATTTGCCGGAGTAGCAATTGACGATAGCATCTGTTGCATGGCTCAGTACATTGACCAGCTTCTCTGTGTCACCTGGGTATTTTTTCAGTGCCTGTTGGTACTCTGCCGTACATCTCTTCATTAGGTCGACGGAGAACTTTCTCTTGGTGGCTTGTTTGTCTGCAGCGGTTCTACCCGGAAACATTATTGGACTAAACTTTGCAGCATCAATTGCTTTTTTCTGTGACTGGGCAAGGTGACGAGTATCTCGTAAGGCCTCCACGGTCTGTCCATGCTCTTTCATTGCCTTCTGCACTCCACGGTAGGCCGCACTGTCTCCATCAGTGGTGATCTGGCCAATGTAAGTAGGCTCTGGGTCACTTAGGAACTCACGGCAGATTTCCTCTGTGGCCAAGTCCTCCCTACCAATGGGCTGGTCCATCATTAAGGTGGCTGTACACTTCCGGGATGATCCGGACACTTGGTTCCTTGGCTTCGCTTATGACAGAGTTTGTTTTTTGTGACCACTCCAATAGTTTTTTTGCTCGGTGTAACATTTTCTGAAATGGTATATGTACTCTGTGTTGCAGGTTGAAATGGATTCCTGTCTCTGGACCAGTAGAGGGGATTGTTATAGCGTCCGTCACCTTCCACAGGAATAGGAGTTTGACCTGGAAATCCGTAGCTCTCCAGTACATCTTTGAGGTGAGTCCTTTGCCTTTGTAGATCTTCTCTGACCATGTTTACAATCTTGAGTCCTACCTTGTTAGCCTTGTACTGCAAACCACTGTAGGATGGTGCTGGGCAGTTGAGGGCCAGGAACACTTCCTGTAGTGTATTTCCCATAATAGGGTTGTCCATCAGGGCTGTCCATAGGGTAATGTTTGGTTTAGCTGCATTAGGTCCTCTCAGGTTAGTTTCTATCTCCTCATAGAGTTTCGTGCTCTCGGTGCGGAATTTACAGTACACGCACCTCAAGGTCTCCTCCCAGCATACCCCTTTCTGTTTTTCGGCCTGGTAGTCAAACTGTAGGTTGGTAGGGCAGTTTGGGCTAACTTCATTATGAAGATGGAATGCTTTGTTAAACATGTCGCATGTCTTCCCTGCATGTAAAGTCTGTAGGTGTTGTAATCTGGGCTAGGAGTAGAATTTGCATGAAGCATGTTGCATGTGGCCTTCGGTCGGAGTAGCATGATAGGCTGTTCATGGTTTAGTTGGTCAGCATTGTCTCTCAGAATGCACTCTCCAGTCTTGCTGATTTTAGCAGATACATGCCTCCTCACATACTTAGGCTTTGGGCTTCGTTTCTTCCAATTACTGAGGGGGGATCCCGTTTTACGGCCATCTTGGACTTTGAAAAGACCTCTTTTACTCTGACTTTTTCCTTTCATTTTTCAGTCTGACTGCTCTAATATTGTTTTGCTTGCTCTCTGTCTTTACTCAATAAACTAATGATGAAGTTTTAAGGCAAGTGAGTGCCAACTTCTTAGGAAGTAGCCAAGACTAATTCTTATTGCTTCAGCCTCTAATGGCAGGCAGAGCTGGCAGCACCATAGCCAATTGGGCTGTCATGGCTGATTAATGTAGCAGATCCTAAAGTGCTTGCAGTGTAATGACAGACAAGGTAATTCTCCATGGAAACAACATTGTTTCGATTGTAAGTAATAACACTTGTTTTTGTTTTAATGAGTTTATTTAATAAAAATCAACATATTAAAGCAATTTTTTTCACACAAATTGTCCAAAAATGAAAAACACAAATCACAAAATTATATAATACTCACTCATACACAAGTTCAACATTTCAACATTTCAGTGTAAAAATTTCATTTTCATTGATTAAGGAAAAATAATTAAAAATCTTAATTTACAAGTACATACAGTATGAAATCTTTCAGTTACACACATTTATCAGGTAAACATGCATAGACATTTTTCATTTGGCTTACACTGCTTTATTAGCATGAAATAAAAAAATTAGTTACACCATCACATACACAAATCTATAAACTTATTATTCATGTAATATATATTTTTAAAAAAAAAAATTAATTTTTATTGCAGGTGTCATAACAGTATTAGGCCTTAGGTTCATGTCAAATCATGGCCGACGATTAATGTTAATAATTTTTGGATTTGTTGTTAATAGATTTTAACACTTGATTTCAGGACTTTTCAGAGAGGTAGGTGCCCAAATTTTTTCTGAGATGTAAAACAGTATATTCTTTTCCAGAAAAAATAGTAGAAAAAAATTAATGAGACCAGTAAATATTTTTTCTAAATTTTATTTCAGGATTGAGTGATGAGGCCAAACACATGGCTTTCAAGCACCTAATTGACTTCGATGTAAACAAACTTGAACGCCTTGCTGGATGGGTATGTATTTTTTTGTACCGAAATGTTAAGGACGAATGCTACAACGTCATAATGGCGGCTTTTCCGTGTCTTGTTGTTCTGACAAACTTGTCAATTAAACTTGACATTTTTCATAGAACGGGAAAGAAATGGGAATGGACAGTTTAAAGGAGAAACGAGAAAGCCCTCCCCACATGAAGATGTAGGACACGACCACTCATATTCCAGTTTACCGACATCATCATCTACTTCAGGTATTGTAAAGTATATTTAAATTCGCTATTTAAGCCATATGAACATCACACTGTGACATTCACATATATATTTCACGTGGGGATTATGTAATGAAATTAATATTAAAATTTTAAGATGATTGTGAGATGTGCATAGATGAAAACATAGATGAAAACCCAGATGAAAACATAGATGAGAATGATTCGGAGTCAGATAAATGTGACGAAGAAGACCCCTGTACATACAGTACACACCATTCAGTACAAGGGAGACATATTGTTGAACTTGATGTTTTGGCAGAAGGACTGGAGAAAGGGTTTGTACATTTATCATTTACTCTTCTTTTTCTTCTTCCATAAACGTGCCCGGTTCTAAAGTTGGGCATTATTGCACATAGGGCTGTGTATTGAGCCAAAGTAATACATGTAAAGCAAATATAAAAAGTCAACACATAATTATTATTATTAAAGGTGTTCAAGCTGTTGACAACCATTACAATTGACATCATACATTGGAGAAAGTAGATATGGCCTAGGTAAGGATAATTTTTTCATTGAATTTTAATATCATGTCTGCATGTTATTTATAGTATGTAACTGTTGACTTATACTGGTTTTTTTTGTGTGTGTACACTTTTGCTCTGATTAAGTATTTTGTAATTCTTTTTCTTTATACTTGAATTTCAGGTAGTCTTCTTCACTTAAGATGTAGTTGTAAGAAAATTAACTATGTTCCCACAGGAAAACGACATTCAAAAAACATTTGGGATGTAAACTCAAAATTAGGTGCAGGTCAGTTGATTTATATTAATTTTATTTATTTTTTTATTATTTGAAATTAGAGTGATTGAAGCTTCTTTTAAGTTTTTGAAACACAACATTTCACTACAATCTGATTAATAATGCATGTATATATAGTACATTTGTATAACATTTAAATATATTGATAAATTTCAGCAATGATATTCTGTGGTATTGGTGAAAGTGTAGTCAATAATTTATTGGCTGCATTGAACCTCCCGAACATATCCCCCACCACCCTAAAAAGGAGGGAACGAGAGGCAGGTTCTGCATTTGAAGCAGTTGCTACTGAGACGTGTAGTGATGCAATTGCAGCTGAAAGTAGAAGGTAAGAAAAATTTATATCAATGTTTTGGTACAAAAGTAAGAATATATATTTAATAGCATCATTTATGTTTATAACATGGAATGTATACTTTGTAATGCATTAAATTATATATAGATACATGTTTCATTTGAGAGAAAGTTATGTTTGTTCATTTGCAGTTGTCAAAGTGAAGAAGACCAGGCGGTTTCCTTTGATGCTGGCTGGCAGACCAGAGGAAGTGGAAGGAACTATGCTAGTTTATCTGGTGTGTATTTAAAATAATTTTTTTGTAGCAACTTTTACCACTATTTTTATATCATGCATGTTTAACTGAATAACTGCATGTAAATGTAGTTATACATAGTGTTCTTTTATTTCAGGTCATGGTAGTATGATAGGAGTGAATACCGGAAAAGTCTTAAGTTATGCCCTACGTTGTAAAAAATGTCGTTTTTGTGACAGGGCGGTGGATAAGGAAAATCCTAAAGAGCATGACTGTAGAAAAAATTGGGAGAAATCCTCCAAGGCAATGGAGTCTGACATGGCAGTAGAAATGCTTCATGAATTGAAATCAAAGGGATTTCATGTTAAAAAACTTATCATGGATAATGATACTACTACGATTTCAAGGTTATAATTTTATGCTCTAAAAATTGTACATTTCATACTTAAATTAGAATTACTGTAATAATGGGTCATTACTTGCTAATTAATTGAAATAATTTTGCTATGTATTTGTAGGGCTCGAGCATCTTTTGATGAGTCTTTAGAAAAATTCTCAGATTTTAACCATACCAAGAAAAATGTAACAAACAAGCTATATTCACTTAGAAAGGAAAAAAAGATATAATAACCTTGGACCAAAAGCAATAAACCATCTGACTAAGTGCTTTGCATATGCTGTCAAGGGGAGTGAAGATGCAGCTAGCATGAAGAAAATCTTGGAGGCCATTCCTTGCCATGTTTTTGGTGATCATTCAAAATGTTCTGAGTTGTGTGGGTAAGTATTCTAGGTTAATTTCTAAACAATGATGCAATAGTAATAAGAATAATAATAATGTTAATTAAGTAAATTATTTCAGTAAAGTGATTTTCATCTTGCAGATATTTGAAAAATCCATCCTCATATAAACCAACAAGTTTGCCATATGGTAAATATATGACAGGAGAAGATCTGCTATCTGACTTAAAGACCATATTTGAAGAATATGCTGCAAATTCTGAAAAGCTTGTTAAAGTGGGTAGCACTCAGACCAATGAAAGCTTTAACCATACCGTAGCCTCAAAGAACCCAAAGTCCAACTTTTACAGTGCTTCTGAGTCTACATCATTCAGAGTGGCAGCGGCGGTGGCTCAAAAAAACATAGGTCTTCAAACACTAACAAAGGTTTGTATCATATATATTAAAACTTTACATGTCCAACTGATTTTGATGTCTAAATTATATGATTATCTTACAAATATATAATATCAAAAGCATTTTTAGGTCACCTGAGTAACTCAGGTGACCTATTGCTATCCGTTTTTGTCTGTCGTCGTGCGTCGTGCGTCGTGTGTCGTGTGTTAACATTTGAACATTTTCAGCTTCTTCTCTGAAACCACTGAACCAATTTCAACCAAATTTGGTATACAGCATCTATGGATGGAGGGGAACAAAAATTGTGAATTTCATGGTCCCCGCCCCCCTGGGGCCTGAGGGGTGGGGCCAAAACCACTAAAATTATTGCTATCTTTAAAAATCTTCTTCTTTACTCCTGGACATCAAGCAGGCAAACTGTTGGCATGAATGTAATGAGCATTGAGTCCTCTACCAAATTTGTGAAATTCATGGCCCCAGGGTCAGGGGTTCTAGTGCTAGGGCGGGGCTCAATAGATTATATAGTGAAAATGCATTATTTCTTTGAAAATCTTCTTCTCTGCTCCTAGGTATTAAATAAACTAACTAAGCACATAGTTATGATGAGCAAGAGTGCCTCTTCCAGATTTGTGAATTTTATGGCCCCAGGGTTAGGGTTTCTGGTGTTAGGGCGGGGCTCTATAGATTATATAGTAAAAATTAGTGTTGTTACGATAGTCGCCGACTATCGAAAAATCGTCGTTTAAAGGCCCAGATCGGCGACAATCGATTGTAAATATTATCATCGATAGATCGCTATATTTTTCAAGCCGTATTTTTAAGCCGATCAGGTTTAACTTTTATATTCACCAAAGGGACGTCACTCTAATTGGCGGTAAACAAAATGGCAAATGTGCATGGTGAAGAGGTTGACGCCGAATTATATCCATATCCTGTTGCAACACGATCTAAAGTTTGGAGTTTTTTGGCTTTCGGAAAAAGGGCGATGGGCCTCCATGCAAAAAAAATTATCAATGGACTCAGTTATTTGTAAATTGTGTAAAAAGTCGTATGCCAATAAAGATAAGTTGAAGTTCGCGGTCACATGTCATGGAATTCTATTCGTGCTGAATGAATAAATGTAACCTTCTTTAATAGTTCAAATTATCGATTATATTATCGATTGTGTTCTTCCGATTCAATTTGATAATCGATAGTAAAATTTGTCCGATTTTACAACACTAGTAAAAATGCATTATTTCTTTGAAAATCTTCTTCTCTGCTCCTGGGTATTAAATAAACTAACTAAGCACATAGTTATGATGAGCAAGAGTGCCTCTTCCAGATTTGTGAATTTTATGGCCCCAGGGTTAGGGTTTCTGGTGTTAGGGTGGGGCTCTATAGATTATATAGTAAAAATGCATTATTTCTTTGAAAATCTTCTTCTCTGCTTCTTGGTATTAAATAAACTAACTAAGCACATAGTTATGGTGAGCAAGAGTATCTCTTCCAGATTTGTGAATTTTATGGCCCCAGGGTCAGGGGTTCTGGTGTTAGGGTGGGACTCTATAGATTATATAGTAAAAATGCATTATTTCTTTGAAAATCTTCTTCTCTGCTCCTGGATATTACCGGTAAATAAACTAACTAAGCAAAAAGTTATGATGAGCAAGAGTGCCTCTTCCAGATTTGTGAATTTTATGGCCCCAGGGTTAGGGTTTCTGGTGTTAGGGCGGGGCTCTATAGATTATATAGTAAAAATGCATTATTTCTTTGAAAATCTTCTTCTCTGCTTCTTGGTATTAAATAAACTAACTAAGCACATAGTTATGGTGAGCAAGAGTATCTCTTCCAGATTTGTGAATTTGCTAGATTCTAATTTTAATAAGTGATCCTTGTTTGAAATTGCAGTCAACTCGAGATAATGGTTTAATCAGGTTTTATTTTAGAGCATTATTATGATGTCATATGACTGTGTTGATCATGTGACGTAGATTTATGATATTCCTACTTGTTGCACAAAAATCGCTTCGGCACAAGTGCAAAACAAATATTATGCAAAGTTTGTTACATAGATCAATTCATATTGATCTCTGGGGACATAGAAAGTGCTGGAGGCAGGTTTAATTTTTACTTGTTAAGAAAATATTTTACAAGAAATTCAACTTACCAGCGTAAGAAGGGGTATTTTCACTCTTTATCGCAATTTATACAAAAGCGGAAAAATTACACACAATCCTCCAGCAAAATTCAGTTAGAGGACATACTTCTCTTGAAGATTTACACAGAAAATCTTCATTTTGTCCTTGTTTATCACTTGTGCCAGTCCAATATAAACACGATTCATAAATTCTAAGTCTGTCTACGGACGTATAAGGGGAGCGTTTCACACATGATTTTTCGCTATTGTTTGAATATGTGCATATCAGACAAACGATTGGAATAGAGGTATTAAATTTGAAATGTTCAACATCATATCAGCACACTCGGGCTTAAAAAACAATCCTAACACTTGAATTAATACAAGCTAGTCCACAAAATAAATCTAAATGTTATGAAAAAATTATGACACTTTCCCCGTCATGTCAGCTCAAGTATGCAGTGACTTGACGTCATATTCTATTATGACGTCATATCTAGGTAGTTTAGAGAAGTTACTACAATTTGAACAGTTTGATATTTTATGGACAGCCTTATCCTAGCTGTGAATTTCACTAGAAGCAACACTCGCAAAATAAAATTCCTCGCTTTTATTTTTAATGACTTTGAAATCCATGAAAATTCTCTTGATCAACCATCTACTGCAAATTATTTAAGGAATGAAGCTAATTTTAACTTATGTTATCCGATATAACAAAACTTGGGGCAGTTTACGCTTTATAAACCGCGAAGCGGTTTATAAAAAAGCGTAAACTGCCCCAAGTTTTGTTATATCGGATAACATAAGTTGAAATTAGCTTCATTCCTTGTAATTTAATTCTTGTGTAGGTAATGAGTCAATATTTCCTCCGGAAAAAGACTTCAAGTTGAGCATTATTTTAAAAGTAACGTCAAGCGGAGTAATACGTTTTTGACGTAACTCATTGTGACGTAGGCAAGTTATGTTATCCAAAATATTATATATTCCTCTGAATGATTCAGCCAATGAAACTGCTTGATAAAAGTGAAATTAAATTATTAGATTTATAATGTAAAAGAGCCATCTCGCAATAATAAGAACTGTCTCAGAAAAAATATAAGGAATCTACAGTACCAACAAATATCTGGTTGGGACTTCTATAACACTTAAGAAATAAGGTATCATCTTTAAACATCTATCAGGATATAAATACGGGTTTAAACATCTATCGGGATATAAATACAGGTTGGTCACGAGATTAATGATCAATTTAATCTTGTACCAACCTGTATTTATAGCCCGATAGATGTTTTAAAATGATACCTTATTAGGGTAAACTGGGGTAATTTCGACCACTTATGCTGACATATGGCTTTCAATCCACAAAACTTTTCCGTTTTCAGATGTACAAATTCAAAAAATAACCGGAGTAAAGAAGATTGATTTTTTCTTCAAATTTAATCCTTTACGAACTAAAAATATGTTAAAAAATAATAAATTGGTTCAAAAATTAGTAACCATGATGCCTGGGTTAATTTCGACCAGCCTCAGGGTAATTTCGACCACAACAAACATCAACAGGAAAGATAACTCTTACAATGAAATTAACTCTACCTATCGCAATGTATTCAAAATTTATGTTCTTGGAAAATAAACTGTATGCTATAGGAAATATAAGTGTCTGTCAAAAAAGATTTTAAAAAATCAATTACATGTATTAACAGTATTATACTTACATGTATGTTTTTTTAATTTAGTAAAGAAATGAGTTG